TTTGTAAATGATTTCCCCCCCATTCGATTTGTTCTAGAGCCGACCCTGTCTCCTTCTCTTAGCGACTGTAACTCCACAGTTGCCTACACTCTTTTCGGGTTTGCTAACGGTAGCTACTTTAGCTTGATAGCTAGCCATGGCTCTTTCCCCACCCTCGGGTGTTATTTCCTGCTCTAACTGTCTCATGTTTGGTTACTTCCCTACCTCCTTTACTGGTACCGATACATGTGTTAAATGTAGTATAGTTGTTAGGTTGGAGGCGGGAATCATAGCCATAGAAGCCCGGCTCCGCATCTTAGAAAGTAACTCAGCTACAGTAAAGCCCATGTTAGCCGGTGCGGACCGGCAAAAGGTAGCTCCTATTAGCCGTCCCCCGGCAACTCCCGAGCAGCAGGGAGACTGGGTGACAGTTCAGAAGGGGCATAACGCGAAACCCGCAGGTGCCCACCAACCCGTTCACGTATCTAACAGATATTCCCCACTCAGCGAGACACCCGCTGAGAAGCCAACTCTGGTTATTGGTAGCTCTATTATGAGACACGTGAATTTAGAGACCGAAGCCTCCACAGTCACATGCATTCCGGGGGCCAGAGCGGGCGACGTTGAGGCACATCTTAAACTGCTGGCTAAAAATAAACGTAAATACAGTAGGATTGTTATTCACGTCGGTGGTAATGATGTTCGTTTAGGCCAATCAGAATGCACCAAACGTAATGTGGAGTCGGTGTGTAGTTATGTAAAACAATGTCGGACACCGTAATCTTCTCTAGTCCCCTCCCCTATCTGATCAATGATGACATGTATAGCCGCATGTCATCAATCAGCGCTGGTTGTCTTGGTGGTGTCCAGCAAACAATGTGGGCTTCGTAAATAATTGGACAGCCTACTGGGGAAAACCTGGTCTGATTAAGAGAGACGGCATTCATCCTACTTTGGAAGGTGCAAATCTCATTTCGGCAAACATTTCAGGGCTTTGTGGACTTAATCCATGACAAACTGGAGTTGAGACCAGGAGTCGCAGTCTTACACGCTTCTCTGCACTCTCTCCTAGGCAGTCATCCATAGGAATCCCGAACCCAATAAAATACCCAATATTAACGGTGTGTGTGTCTGCCCATGGACAATTTAAGGTAAAACCTAATAGAGGTGTCATACATAATAACCTAATAAAAGTAAATGTAACAACTACTACAGTGCAACAAAACAGGAATATTAAATGTGGTCTCTTAAACATAAGATCTCTAGCATCTAAAGCAATATTGGTAAATGATTTAATATCAGATTATAATATTGATATATGCTGTCTCACTGAAACTTGGTTGAGACATGAAGAATATGTCAGCATAAATGAGGCCACTCCACCCAGCCATATCAATACTCATATTGCCCGAGGCACGGGCCGAGGAGGTGGAGTTGCAGCAATCTTTGACTCAAGTTTACTTATCAATACTAAACCAAAATTAAATTATACCTCCTTTGAAAGCCTCGTTTTAGTGTTACGCATCCGATCTTATTTGTTACAGTGTACCGTGCACCAGGTCCTTATTCAGAATTCTTATCTGAATTCTCTGAGTTTTTATCAACTTTGGTACTTAAAACAGATAAAGTAATTATCGTAGGTGACTTTAATATTCATGTTGACGATGATAAAAATAGCCTTACTGTTGCATTTAACTCTATATTAGATTCTGTTGGTTTCTGTCAGAGTGTAAATAAACCAACCCACTGCTATAATCACACTCTCGACCTTGTTCTGACTTATGGTATTGAAATTGAGCAACTATTAGTCGAACCGCATAATCCTGCTTTATCCGACCATTTCTTAGTAACTTTTGAAGTACTGTTACTAGACTACAAAGCATTAGTCAAAAGCTCCTGCAGCAGAAACCTATCTGTTAGTGCTATCGCCAAATTTAAGGAAGATTCCACCAATACTTAACTCGATAGCATGTCTCCATGTAGGGGAGGAAACTTATACAAAATGTACACCACCCCAAATTGATCATGTTGTTGATAGTGCTACAGATGCGCTGTGAATAAAATTAGACTTCTTTGAAAAAGAAGAAAAAGAAAATAAAACAACATAGATTAGCTCCATGGCATAATCCCGAAACCCGCAAAATAAAGCAAAAGTCGAGACAACTTGAAAGGATATGGCGTTCCACTAAACTTGAAGAATCTCGTTTAATTTGGCATATTATTCTCAATGAATATAAGAAAGCACTGCGTAAAGCGAGAGCAGCCTACTACTCTTCATTAATAGATGAGAATAAGAATAATGCAAGATTTCTTTTCAGCACTGTAGCCAGGCTGACAGAGAGCCACAGCTCGATTGAGCCTTCTATTCCCATAGCACTCAGTAGTAATGATTGTATGTGCTTTTTTAACGATAAAATTGTTACTCTTAGAAACAAAATTAATGACCTCTTGCCTTTGACCAGTATAGTGTTATCAACAGCTCCCGGAAACGTAAGTTCTAATATTACACTAGAGAGTAAACTAGAATGCTTTTCAGCCATAAACCTTGAACAATTAAATTCAATGATTCTCTTAGACCCAATTCCAACTAAGCTGTTGAAGGAAGTTTTTCCATTAATTAGCACTTCTTTATTAAACATTATGAATATGTCTTTATTATCAGGCTATGTTCCACAATCATTCAAAGTAGCAGTGATAAAACCGCTTCTTAAAAAGCACAACCTCGATCCAGAGGTTTTAGCCAACTATAGACCTATTTCTAATCTTCCGTTCCTCTCAAAAATTCTTGAGAAAGCAGTCGCAAAACAGCTGTGTGATTACTTAAAAAAACAATGATTTATTTGAAGATTTTCAGTCTGGCTTTAGAACACATCATAGCACAGAGACAGCTCTGGTTAAAGTCATAAATGACATTATAATAGCCTCTGACAAGGGACTTGTCTCTATTCTTGTTTTGCTCGATCTCAGTGCTGCATTTGATACTATCGACCATGATATCTTATTGCAAAGATTAGAGCACTTAGTTGGCATACAGGGAACTGCTTTAGACTGGTTTAGGTCCTATCTATCTGAACGCTCTCAGTTTGTACGTGTCAATGATGAATCTTCCACGCAAACCAAAGTTAGCCATGGAGTGACACAGGGCTCAGTGCTCGGACCTATTTTGTTCACATTATATATGCTTCCGTTAGGCAATATTATAAGGAATCATTCTGTACATTTTCATTGTTATGCGGATGATACTCAACTGTATTTATCAATCAAGCCTGATGAAATTAATCATCTAAATAAAATTCAAGACTGCCTCAAGGACTTAAAAACGTGGATGACCTTAAACTTTTTGATGTTAAACACGACCAAAACTGAAGTTATTGTACTTGGCCCGAAGAATCTACGAAATAAATTATCTAAAGATATACTAACTATGGATGGCATTAATTTGGCCTCCAGTGAGACTGTAAGGAATCTTGGTGTTATATTTGATCAGGATTTATCCTTGAACAGCCACATAAAATCAATTTCAAGGACTGCCTACTTCCATCTACGTAACATTGCAAAAATCAGGCATATCTTGCCTCAAAACGATGCAGAGAAACTAGTCCATGCATTTGTTACTTCAAGGCTGGATTATTGTAACTCTTTATTATCAGGGTGTACCAAGAAGTCAGTCAAGTCGCTTCAGCTGATTCAAAATGCTGCAGCTCGTGTACTAACCAGAGTTAGGAAAAGGGACCACATTACTCCTGTTCTGGCTGCCTTACACTGGCTCCCTATAGAACACAGGATAGAATTTAAAATTCTTCTTCTCGTCTACAAAGCCCTTAATCGGCAGGCGCCATCTTACCTTAAAGCACTCATTATACCCTACTGTCCTACTAGGGCATTGCGTTCCAAGAATGCAGGGTTGTTGGTTGTTCCTAGAGTCTCTAAAAGTACAATGGGAGCCAGAGCCTTTTCTTATCAAGCTCCACATTTGTGGAATCAGCTTCCAGTTTGTGTTCGGGCGGCAGACACCCTATCCGTTTTTAAGAGTGCGCTTAAGACCTTCCTTTTTGATAAAGCTTATAGTTAGGGCTGATTAGATTCAGCCCCTAGTTTTGCTGATATAGGCTTAGTTTGTCGGGGGACATCTTACTTCTTCCTTCTCTCTGTCTATACCTGTGTACTCATGTTCCGATTAACCTAGCTTCCCCAAATTTATTTCTTTTTGGTGTCTATATACGCTGGGATCCGGAGTCATGGATGATTCTGCGGTCCTGTGTCCTGCATCGCGAGCCCTGGATCTTGAGTCGTGGCTGTGGTCCTGGATCATAGGTCCTGGATGGATATCCTCGTGGATTCATCTTCCTATTATACACACATGCATTTCCAAATATTTGGATTACCTATGTTGCAAATGTATTATCTTTTCAATTTACACACGGCATCTATTGCACGTCTGTCCGTCCTGGGAGAGGGATCCCTCCTCTGTTGCTCTCCCTGAGGTTTCTCCCATTTTTCCCTTTAAACTGTGGGTTTTCTCCAGAAGTGTTTCCTTGTACGATGTGAGGGTCTAAGGACAGAGGGTGTCGTATTGTCATACTGATATTCTGTACAAACTGTGAAGTCCACTGAGACAAATGTAACATTTGTGATATTGGGCTTTATAAATAAACATTGATTGATTGATTGATTGATTGAAGGTTAATCCATAGGTTAATCCAGTGTGTCTCTATCACTTAGAAATGATTACTGATAATCCATCATTCCATATTTATGTCAAAAACGGAGTTGTCATATAGCTGCTATGATAGCTACCAGAGTGTATGACAGCTTCCGGTTTTGGGCATTCTGGGTACGGATCACTCATTCACCAATGGGTAATGTTTAGATGGATTTTTCAGTCAGTCGTAGTGTTTGCAGAGAAGATATGATGTGATGTAAAGCATTGGATCAGTCAGGACTCTGAAGCTGACTAACTCAAAGAACAAACTATTATTGTAACTTGATCTAAAACTGTTGGATTGTGTTCATCCCTGCAGGATCAATGGAGAGACAATCAGAGCCAAGATACAGAAGAACTGTGAGTACTGAACCCATACCCTCCATTCATCAAACTATCTTACATGCAATCAAATCGTAGGTAATATATTTATGTACCACTTGATGAAATCTGTGCCTCACGTTTATGTCTAACAGTGCCTAACAGGGGCTAACCTGCTACAACGGCCCAAAAACACTTACATTAGGAGAAAGGCGCTGAAGCTTCAAATACGATGCAATATAAAAACACAAATTTGCCAAAACACATGCAAATAAAGAAACATCTTCAACTTGATAACACATGCATAGCATTCAGAAAATATTTACCAACTTGAAGAAACATGCGCAGCGTTTACTAAAAGCCCTACATTAACGAAACGCTGTAAAAAGAAAACGCTGCAAGAAGCTTAAAACAAAACTGAAACGCGGACACTAAAAAGTGTCAATATTCTAAAGATATATAATAGTATAATGACAGTTTGTCAACATTATAAAGTTGGCAAACTGTCTCTGTTGGCAGAGTCTGTTTCATATTTGTAAGTGTTTTGTCAGTATATCTGAAGGACAAGGTTAGCTAGCTAGCTTACATCAGATCTGCAATAATACCTGAAGGAATCATTCGATCACATTGTGAAAATAAACCGATAAAACATACATTTTTTGTTTCCAGTGACAGTTTAACAGATTTAAACGTTTTGCTCAAGAACTGCGTTTAGTTCTGATACTGTCCCACAAACAACCCTTGAAAAGTGGAAATAAATATAGTGATTGAATCGAATGATGGCACACACTGATGTCAGCGAGCGACCACAGGAACAAATCCTAAAACCCTGAAATGACTCAGCATTTCTGCACTTCCTGTTTCTTTGTCTTAAAGGGGACCTATTGTGCAAAATGCACTTTTTTATGTCTTTTACACATAAATATGTGTCCCTGGTGTGCCAGGAGACTCACCCAGTGTCAGAAAATAAAACCCTCTCTCTTTTCCCCCGTACCCAAATCTTTTAAAAACGCGGGTACAACGAGCTGATACAGATTTGCTGCCGATATTACGTAATTTCAGATGGTAGACCCACAGAAAGTTGCTATCAGAAACAATGCCTGATGTGTTTTGGACGTAATATGGTCTTTGTTTACATTAGCAAGCCTCGCTAACACTCAGAGCTAACCTGTACTCGAGAGCACATGTGTTTTAAAAAGCAGGAAATAAAGAAAGGAACTCACCTTGTGATAAACCTGAGAGAGAAAAAGCATTTGAGCTCCATACTGTTTCAGAAACAATCCTTGATGTGATTTAGAACAGGATGGCGTTTAATCACGGCAGCATTTAACTTTATCTCCGGTAGAATTCTGAGTAGTTTTTTGAGCTAATGACCCAAAATCCTTGTTTCTCTAACAGGGCTGGAATAGAGGGATATGAGGGATGTCTAAAATGCATGATCTGTTTGTATTTTGAACAAAACCCTTCATAGACATGTTTTTATATCAAATCAAAATCAAATCAAGTTTTATTTATATAGCACATTTAAAAGCGATTTTGGTCGAGCCAAAGTGCTCTACATGTAATAAAAACACATTACTACAATCACAATAAAAGACAATTATTGACAACAGAAATATAAAAAACAAAAACACAGGGAATAGTCAGGTGTCGTGCTCCGCTCTGACTAGAAGGCCAGAGAGAAGAAGTGTGTCTTTAGTGTAGATTTAAAAAACCCTAGTGTCTCGGCCGACCTCACATGGAGGAGCAGAGTGTTATACAAGTGATATATTTGTATATATCTGAGACCCATAATATATGCCTATAGAAATAGCATGATAGGAGCACTTTAAAGTCAAATGTGTATTTGGTTTGATGCCTAAAATAATGTGATTAACATTTTAAGAAATGTTAACGTTAGACATACTTATATCCAATAAATACCACACTTCTGAATTTTGAGACTGTAGCGGCAGAAATCATATAGAAATAAAACAGATCATTAACTTAAAATAACACAGTCGCTGAGGAATCTTACGCACGGCAATGATCCAAGTCCAGACAAGAATCTCCGTTTGTGCATTTATTTCTATGGTCCAATATCATATACAAAAGCACAATGAACAGCTTTCATATCGATTCCTTTCCTTCAGCCCTTTTTTGTGGTTTTCCTTGTGTCGCCCTGGTTAAAAAACATGTGCCTACTAGTGCTCTGGCCGTTTCTCAATCTCGAGGAAACTGGCTTCCAAGCCAATATTTCAAGGATGCTACGTCATCGAGTGCCGCCGAAGGACTGTTCCAATCTCCAGCATACTTGGAATTCCACCGAGGCCGCGTGCTTGGTTTGGGGGTAATTTCGAGGCTGCACATGGGTAGAATTCGCGTCCTTAAAATCCCCACAATGCTTTGCGCACGGACCAATTTCCCCAAATCTGTGGCGGAAAATGTAAGGCGGGGCCTCTCATATGACGCCCACCTGCACACTTGCTCGCCTGTTCCACTCTTCGTTTTCCGAATGCCAGGAAGGATTCTTGCCTCGCTTCTGAAGCAAGTGACTCGGAAGACATGTGCAACCAAGCAAGCATCCTCGCGATTGAGAAACGGCCTCTGTCTCCAATATATACAATTACACCAGGTGCTCTAATCACCCAGTGCCCAAACATGCCTTCAAAATAAAGGCATACAAACTACTTTAACTCACTTCAATAACGTCACTAAATACTACACAAAAACAGCAAGAAATACATGTTTATCTATTAAATAATGTAAAGCAATATATAGCTCAAAGAGTGTCTTTAAACAGGCGGTTCTAACGAGTGGCTAAATTCATAATAACGTCATCACGCTGATCACGGAGAAACTCATCTCCTCATTGGCTGTGATGTTAAATCATGTGACTGTGATGTAGTTCCTTTATAGCCTGATGCTAGCTTTTCACTTGGATGAACACAACTCAAAAATAATGTGTAAATACCATAGGATAATCGTTTGAGGCATTTGAATAAGGAAATGTTACATATTATATATTTTAAATAAATAAACCCACCACTGGGAAAGTTGAGGAATATAAATATCTCTGTGAACATCACACTGAACTTTTGTGTAACTTTATTAGTATTTTTCTAAGACATCTCTGTTTAAAGTGATTGTTGGTTGTATAACAAGAGTATTTTCCCTGTTTATCTTCCAGGTCCATGAGGGAATATTGTTAACCATCTCAACAAATAGCATTCAGCCCCGTAATCCTGCATTTGGTTCGTTTCCTTCCATTTCTGTCCCTCAAATCTTTGGAAACAGTCAGACTTTTTTGCGTTAATCACCCCGACTGCATCCAATCACACTATTTCTCACCCATGTTCCCGGTAATACCTTACACTAGACTAAGTAATGCTCTAACACGTTGTTTTCTCATAAACCTAGTCTAAATAAACTGCAGTGAGTAACATTTCTAGCAGCAGGAAGATATTCCAAAAATCAATACCAAAGAAAGAAACACATGATGAGGTTCTTCAGTGTCTCGCAGGCTGTTGTAGACAAAGTGTGCTGCAATAGCACTGAATGATATTATTGTTATTATCACATGTGTTTAATGTATCTAGTTTTAGAGGAATTTGTTGTTGGTTTTTTCGTGCTTTTATACCACATTTTGCTGATTGTGTTTGCTGACACCTGACTATATGGACGGAGACAACATGAAGCTTTCAATCCTGAGGGGACTGACAACAACAAATACCCAACTCCAACACCTGGGCAGAGACAATACATTTACAATTGTGAATAATGTTTGATATCCTGTTTTACCTTAATGTTTGTTACTTGGGACGGTTGAAACACACGGGTTCTTCCTCTCTCATCCTCCTCTTCTTTGTCCTTCAGTGATCCATTGTTGTTGTGCTATTTGAAGGTTAATAGCCTCAAGCGTCTTTGAGTTTCTAGAAAAGCGCTATACAAGTATCATGTATTATTAATAGAGTGCCACAGAGACGCTTCCTAAAACCCGGAAGTAAGTTAGAATTTGACCACTTTTTCCCTCGATAAAAAGCAATGCAATTTCGCCACAGGATTTTGGAAAATAGCTCGAAATAAGGTCTGTGGTTGAAACACATTTAAGAGACGGATCACGTTTTGTTCTACGACATTAAATACATCAGCAGAGACCCCACTGGTGATTTCTGAAGAGTTGACGTGTCTGAAAAACGATGGTTGTTACCAAGTGGCTGAATAGGACTACAAAAGTTGTGGAGGACGTTGTACGTCATTACGCCGAACACGTAAACACTCCAGCTAACTTTGTTTCCCCCCGTGTTCTGCTTGAGAGCAAGTTCCTGCCTCCTGCAAACTGTTCAAACAAACGCTTCAACTTGTAAAATGTTGAATCTGTATGTTTGAATATGGATCTTAAGTTGGCGTTACGTTGAAGCAGCGACCCTGCTGTAGTTTGTTTATAGCATAACGTTAGCATTTTGCTTCTGGCGACTAGATTTATGATTAGAAAATGATAAAAGTAGGATAGACATGTGGAGATTATCCGGCTGAACAAAACGTGATCCATCTCTTAATTGTGTCTCAACCACAGACCTTATTTCCAGCTATTTTCCAAAACCCTATGGAGAAATTGCATTGCTTTTTTGACGAAGGAACCGGAAGGTGTTTACTTCCGGGTTTTAGGACCCGTCACTGTGACACTCTATTGAGGAAACTCTCGGAAGAGCACCTTCAGCATAACATTACAGAAATACTAAAATATACTATTCATGAAAAACTAATCTTATAATCTGTACATTTCTTTATACCAAAAATTATTCTATAATTAGTTTCCTATATCCGTAATTAATTTCATTTTGTTATTGTTTTTATATATATTTAATTTTCCATCCTCCATGGAGAGCTCCCCATAGTAAGCACATAATTTACTAAATATACAGTATATTAACCTATATTCCACCATAAGGCAATCTATGTTAACCCTTTGATGGCCTTCTCCAGTTTCAGTCTACTTACGAGACAAACTTGCCCACTTCCACCTGGATGATGGTGTTTTTAAGCTGGACCTCCAGCAGCAGGGCGTCAGCTGGACCTCCAGCTGGTCTTGTTGACGTTTGGGGAGAATATCTGCAGCATCCCCATGTAGCTGCCCACCACCACCTTGTCTATTAAAGCAGTGGTTCCTGTAGTGGGAATTCCACACTTAATCACCTTCTGGTCAGAAAATAACAAATACTCAAGCTTAAACCAAAGTTGTGTTATTTAATAAAGAGTTATAGCATTTAACAGAATCAATCCTATTTCCAGCTGGAAAGGACAGATAACCTGTTCCACTGATGTAGCACAAGCATCTGACCAAGTTACACAGAAAAGCAATGACTTTATACAGGAAGAAAGAGCAAAAGATGGGAGGGTGAACAGCCAATGAAATTCTACATTACAGGGTATTGAATATTCGTGGCTAGACAGGGGTTAAGTGATATTAATTTTCCTCACAATGGTCACAGTGGCACCTTCGGTCTGTTGAATGATAACAAAAGGAAGCCAGTCTGTATTGAAGGTGGGAAGAAGCTTGGGAGTGATAGCCGTAGCTTACATCAAACTGAAACTGGGTTAAAACCCAAGAAAGAATGTATATAATTGTAATTAAATTAGACTTAATGATACATTTACTACAACAGTTCCCAACCTTTTTTGTCTTGTGTACCCCTTGAGCTGGTTTCCATTCTATAAGAACCCCCTCACTCATCTGTTATAATTCGCCTACATTTCTCCGTGTATTAAACCCTTTGTGATCGTGTTTAACCCAACTGCTCCTAAATGAAAATCACTTGTAAAACTCACATTCAATAAAAATGCATTTAAACTTGAAATGTACATTTATTTACACAGCAAAAATCAGTGTATATTGTACTCTATAAGAGTACATTTAGCACCAGTCTCGGGTGTATATAGGTCCAAGAGTTTGGTGTTCTCTGAACAGTCAAAAGAGTAAAATATAAACTCCAAATAAAGAGTTAGATTTGAACACTTTGGGAGTCAACATATACACTATAACTGGTACTTTTTTGACACTGTTTGAGTGCTTTACCACATGTACACCAAACAAACAATTTTGGGGTGAATCATTAACACTTCAGGAAATAAAGTACACATCAGATTCTTGAAAACATTCGTTTATTTTCAAACATTTGATTTTGATATGTTTTAAATATAACATCTAATCAGTAGCAACATCAAACAACCCACAAAATACATTGGGGAATAGCCTGGGGAAACACTTTAGAGGTCATCGTTCCAAAATCCTGTTACAACAAATGGACAACGTGGAATACCATACACCAGTGCTAATGTAACATTTTGAATGACTGTAACAGAGTATTCCTACACTCTGGTACTTCTTTTCCTCTAGTACAATACCTGAGTACTTCTGCTTTTACTCTAGTACAGGATCTGAGTACTTCTACTGAAGTACAATATCTGAGTATTTTTCCCATCTCTGTAGTCATTACAATGAGAAAGAAAACAATGTTAACTTAGCATCCCCAAAACAAGGAGAAAGTTAAGCTGATAAATGGAAAAAAATGCTAAAAAGATTATATTAAAAGTTTTATTAAGAAATACTTCATAAATAGAAGCTAAGACTCACAATAATTAAGAAAAGTATCTTGTTTTTTTATATATTAAATGTGTTAACCTACAGTATTTCCACACAAATGAAAATGTTCATTAATACAGTACAACTTATTGCTTATGAGAAAGAAAAAGATGTCCAGGCTCCTGTCGCCATCTGGTGGTGACGAGAAGAGCAGAGAGGGCAAACACCTGTCTGCAAGGTTTCTATTTCATGTTCAGAAGCAAATCATTGTGTTGTTTTATTGCAGTGTATAAAAGGTTAAACAGTAACAAAGCACTTATATGTAAATACTGATTAGAACAACGACTGGACTTTATACTTGGTTTGTGTATATGTGAATCTACAACAATAATTCAAATGTGTATTTTAGTTGTGTTAACAAATACAACCAAACTAAAATATGCAATCACTGCGGTTCTTATAGAATAAATATGGATTTAAAGTCTTGTTTCTTTTGTATATTGTGTCCAAAGAACAGGGATATATCATAACTATGCAATATGTCACGAGTAATTATGGATAAGGAAATACTTTTTTAATTACAGTGTATATTTAGTCAAATATATTTAGCCACCAATGCGTTTTTTGCCCATTGCAGAGAGCAGAATTAAAATCCTTCAGCGTAGAAATGTACCCAAGTACAGAAATAGAAACAAAGCAAGTCCTGGACCTGAAGCTCATCAAACCAAAAGGTACAAACTGGTTCATCAACACTTTGACCAAGAGAGATAAACAATGTTTTAATCTTGTATTCATGAGTTTATTTGATCAACTTGGAAAATACGATGCATTTATATACAGTATGTATGTATATGCGTGTGTGTGTGTGTGTGTGTGTGTGTGTGTGTGTGTGTGTGTGTGTGTGTGTGTGTGTGTGTGTGTGTGTGTGTGTGTGTGTGTGTGTGTGTGTGTGTGTGTGCGTGTGTGTGTGTGTGTGTGTGTGTCTAAGCATGCACGGATCATTCCATGGGAAAAAAAGGCCATCTTTTGAGGGATGTGTTTGATGTGTCTTTGAAGAGCTGCTTGATTACTCAAAAACAAAAAACAACTGTTAGTGTGTTTATGCGCCTGGCTGCCAAAGATAAACATGCAGTTTGACCGAGGGCTGATTTCTTTAGTGAGCAGAGAAGGAGAAAGACCTGGAGCAAAGAGAAGGAACTCAAATGAAGAAGCATGTCAGTGCAGAGGAGACTTCAGAAGTAATCTTGAAGCCTTCTTCTGCCAGCGAGCTGCAGGACTCATCTGAAGAAGACACAAGGTTCGAGGGGGGGTCTGACACTGAATGCTCTCTGGAGTCCAGCCTTTCTTTGAGTTCCTCTGACCCTTCCTCTGAAAGTAGAGAGGACACTGAGGGTCCGGGCCACAGTGAGGGGACAGAGAAGAACGGAGGTCGTTCTCCCAGGAGCTGGGGAAAACCAGGGTGTCCTCACAGATTGTGAGAAGAAAGCCCCCCGTGGTGGAGGATGGTGGGCCGGACAAATATATTATATTATATATAATATATTTATACATATATATTTAAGAAGTACAATATAAGCCGAGCACACGTTTTATTTGTGGGCCGTATTCCATTCTACTTTTATTATTTGCTGAGGTTTGGAGACCCCTGATGTAGAGTCATCTCTGGGATGAAACTGTCCCTGAGACACGTGTGCAGGGATGTGCTAAAAACACATGTTGTAATGAGAGCATCGTCACCTGGAGGGTCTACAACTTGTCCATGCCGAGCTGTTCTGGAGTCGAGACGCCGAGCTCTGACAGCGTGGGCTGCAGCTCCTGGATCAGGTACGGGTAGATCTCTTTGTGGGGGCCGGCTTTGTCCTGAAGGACACAGAGGAAATAACAAATGAAGAGGATTTTGTTATGGAGAACACAGCTTACACTACTTACAGCGATCAGCAATACGTATGGACTGAAGCCCTCCTTTATGATTGGTTTAAAAATCAATTAGCATCTAGTAATCAAATAAACAACAAGTCTTTCCATTCACAACACATGGGAATACCACGGTGATAATATTGTTCTCTACTTCAATCCATTATATTGCACCATAAGATTATTAAACACCTGCACTTTTTAAAGACCATCCATAAACATTCATCTGTTTGCATCTTGCTAATTATTTATCTAATATATCAGATTTACTTGTATATAGACTCTTCTTGCACTATTTCTATTATATTTGTATTTACTTGCACATCTCAAATCATTCTCTCACACTATTTTATTCATCTTTCACTCAGAAATGTTCCTAACAGAGTGCATTGACCTAGAAGTCTCTCAGTGGGCACCTTGCTTCCCTTGTTGTCTCCTTAAGGAAACACAGGACCATCCTTTACGAAAGATACGTTTATGTATAAATATTCCATAGAGTATTATTTATTCAAAGCCGTTATATACAATGATACTAAATGGCTTTCATGCAACCAATTAGCTTCACACATTTATGAAACCCTCAAGAAACAACATGCTATGCACGGACTCAAGTATCTAGATGTGCTTTTAGTCACTTTGTAGTTTTCCCACAACAGAGGCACATCAAAAACACCCTCCGTCTCATCATAACGTCTCCCAGTGTCCTGACGAATTCTCCTTCACTACTTCCTTTAATCCCAGATCATTATGTTATTATACCAGAACAGCTTCATCCCACAGGCCATCAGACTGTTCAACACCTGAGCTTTTGAAAGAACATCCATATATATATATATATATATATATATATATATAAAAATAAACTTGCCTTGCACTATTTTATCTGTTTTACTGTGTTTCGCTGTTGGAGGAGCCTCAGATTTAATACATATCTAAACTGTAGCTATGTACACATGACAATAAAAGCCTTGAATCTTGAACATTTTCATGGACATTAAGTAAGAGTGGTTAGGAGGAGACATAGGGCCTCATTTCTTCTACAATTCGATAAGTGATCTCACCTGAACGGCCTCCAGGATACGGATGGCGCTGGCCATGTCGTTCAGTCTCCGGCACGCTCTGAGCGCTGAGTCCACGATCTTAGCCTCGGGCACCAGGTCGTACCCGATCAGGGTGTTCATGCCTTCACATTCATTTAAAAAACAAATGTATTACTTGGAAGAATTAGCAATCATTAACAAGAGTCGTCTGAATTTAAGGTTCATAAAAAATACATTAAGACAATTTCTTGTGGAGAAGATATTCGTCAGCTTTATTGAAGAGACTCAAGGTCCATTTTTAAAAGACATACAGTTCAATATAAATGAAAAAGGCAGTTATACCAATGTTTCCACAGAGGTGACTGGTATCGTACTGAGACGAGGATTTGACAGCAGCATAATGACACATTCATAATATTGCCTCAAACCATTACAAAACATGAAATGGGATAATACATATGATATGCATATCGTAGGTGTGTGTCTTTGAACCTTGAGTGTATTGGACCGTCAACCTAGTTATTTACATTTTTTGAAGGGATCCTTTTTCAGAGTGTGGTGCGTTCAGGGACCCTCAGTCACTTTGATTATATCTGTGTGTAGTTCAGAGTGTGGTGCGTTCAGGGAACCTCAGTAACCCAGCTTTGTGTGTGTGTAGTTCAGAGTGTGGTGCGTTCAGGGACCCTCAGTAACTTTGACCATATGTGTGTGTAGTTCAGAGTGTGGTGGCGTTTCAGGGACCCTCATTAACTGATTATATATGTGTGTAGTTCAGAGTGTGGTGCGTTCAGGGACCCTCAGTAACTGATTATATGTGTGTGTAGTTCAGAGTGTGGTGCGTTCAGGGACACTCAGTCACTTTGATTATATCTGTGTGTAGTTCAGAGTGTGGTGCGTTCAGGGACCCTCAGTAACTGATTATATCTGTGTGTAGTTCAGAGTGTGGTGCGTTCAGGGACCCTCAGTAACCCAGCTGTGTGTGTGTAGTTCAGAGTGTGGTGCGTTCAGGGACCCTCACTAACTTTGATTATATCTGTGTGTAGTTCAGAGTGTGGTGTGTTCAGGGACCCTCAGTAACCCAGCTTTGTGTGTGTGTAGTTCAGAGTGTGGTGCGTTCAAGGACCCTCACTACTGATTATATGTGTGTAGTTCAGAGTGTGGTGTTTCAGGGACCCCGTAACTTTGTGTGTGTGTGTTCAGAGTGAGGTGCGTTCAGGGACCCTCAGTAACTTTGACTATGTGTGTGTAGTTCAGAGTGTGGTGCGTTCAGGGAACTCAGTAACCCAGTTGTGTGTGTGTGTATTACAGTGTGGTGCGTTCAGGGACCCTCAGTAACTGATTATATGTGTGTAGTTCAGAGTGTGGTGCGTTCAGGTAACCTCACTAACCCTAATTATATGTGTGTGTAGTTCAGAGTGTGGTGCGTTCAGGGACCCTCAGTAACTTTAATTATATCTGTGTGTAGTTCAGAGTGTGGTGCGTTCAGGGACCCTCAGTAACCCAGCTGTGTGTGTAGTTCAGAGTGTGGTGCGTTCATGGATCTTCCGTAACTATGACCATATGTGTGTGTAGTTCAGAGTGTGGTGCGTTCAGGGAACCTCAGTAACCAAGCTTTGTGTGTGTGTAGTTCAGAGTGTGGTGCGTTCAGGGACCCTCGGTAACTTTGACTATATGTGTGTGTAGTTCAGAGTGTGGTGCGTTCAGGGACCCTCAGTAACCACCATATGTGTGTAGTTCAGAGTGTGGTGTGTTCAGGGACCCTCAGTCACTTTATATCTGTGTGTAGTTCAGAGTGTGGTGCGTTCAGGGACCCTCAGTAACCCAGTTGTGTGTGTGTGTAGTTCAGAGTGTGGTGCGTTCAGCGACCCTCAGTAACTGATTATATATGTGTAGTTCAGAGTGTGGTGCGTTCAGGGACCCTCAGTAACTTTGTGTGTGTAGTTCAGAGTGTGGTGCGTTCAGGGACCTCTTCCGTAACTATGACCATATCTGTGTGTAGTTCAGAGTGTGGTGCGTTCAGGGAACCTCAGTAACCAAGCTTTGTGTGTGTGTAGTTCAGAGTGTGGTGCGTTCAGGGACCCTCAGTAACCAAGCTTTGTGTGTGTGTAGTTCAGAGTGTGGTGCGTTCAGGGACCCTCTGTAACTTTGCTATATGTGTGTGTAGTTCAGAGTGTGGTGCGTTCAGGGACCCTCAGTAACTTTGACCATATGTGTGTGTAGTTCACAGTGTGGTGCGTTCAGGGACACTCAGTAACCCAGCTGTGTGTGTGTGTAGTTCAGAGTGTGGTGCCTTCAGGGACCCTCAGCAACTGATTATATATGTGTGTAGTTCAGAGTGTGGTGCGTTCAGGGACCCTCAGTAACCCAGCTTGTGTGTGTGTGTGTAGTTCAGAGTGTGGTGCGTTCAGGGACACTCAGTAACCCAGTTGTGTGTGTGTGTAGTTCAGAGTGTGGTTTGGTGGTT